CGGCACGGCCGCTCCGTCCCCTCCAGGACGCCCCATCCCAACGCTCTCCTCGCTGCCCGCCGGCTGCGCTGCTGCGGGAGCTGACAGGACACCCTGATAATGTACACCCCGGCACGTGAGCGGTCGGCAGCTCTACATCTTCCAGTGCAGGTCAGTGTTTGCCTCTGATGAAAGAAATAATCACCTACAGGATATACAGCGGGCTAGCATTTGTCAGACTTTCAAAACAAGACGGAATCCTATTCCTTCCTGCTCTTTAAAGAACCTTATAACTTGCTTTCTTATAAGGAACAAAAACATTCCAGAAACTGAGAGCAGAACAGAAAGCCTTCTTCTCACTCCTTGATAGCCTGGAGCTGTAATACAGCAGAATCCACATATTAAAAAGAAAAAAAAAAAAAAAAAAAAAAAGAAGTGGCTGCTGTAATTTTAGGAGTTGCTCCTCATCTTTACCTTTTCTCCATGCACAACAGTTCGTATCTAAAAACCGGCTCCTGGCGACCACCCCGTGCTCCCTGCGAGGGGACTCGCCACGGACCCCTGCAACCTGCAGCACGTTCACTGCCCGACCCAATTCTCCTCAGAAACCGACCCCTTTCGGCTGATAATTTCCCTTAAAAGCCCAGACACCAAGCAATGGAAAGTTTTCTTTAAATGCCAGTTAACGAGCAATGGAAAATGTCATCACGAGGAAGTTATGTAGGTATTTAAAGTGCTCTGCTAGATCAGGCCTTTGCGAGCTACAATATAGTTTCACATCTGACTTGATTTTCAGTGTGAGAAATACAATAAAACGAAGCTCTATGATTTAAAAAAGGAAAAAAAAAAGAAATATACATAAAAAATTTTAAAGCTTCCAAAGTTCTTGGATGGCATGGTGGTGAGAAGATAGAAATAGGGAATGCAGAGGTATAAACCAGGCCACGCTTGTGTAAATTACTCTGACATTTAATAACTCTCCTAAAAATTCTCAAGCAAGGATACTTTGGATATTTTTAAGGTCATGTATCATTTACTGTCTAGGTCAATATATGCCTCAGCAGAGAGTGCTGCAAACCCGTCCAGACAGCTTTTTAAAAATAAAGCTATACGTATTTTCCTCACCAATTTCTGCACTGTGCAAATTGAAGCAACGTTCTGTAGTAAGTGAACTCAGTACGATATTTCAAGGCAAGTCAAGGGCAAGACTCATAACTGGGCTATGAAAATGCTTATTACTAAAAGCAAAATGGTGCAGGGTTTCCCTATGGACAGAAAAAAAATATTGGCCATTAAGTTACCGTATCAGGTACCCCCCGTCCTTCACGAAGGCAGCACAGCACATATCCCTCCTGCAGCTCGCTCGATGAACTACCTGTTAGAGGTAGTGCTATGGCTCAGCGAGCGCTCCAAGGCTTCTGAGGGACACACGGGCAGGAGGAGCTCATTAAAAAACAAAAAACAAACAAACAAACAAAAAAAGGTCAAAATCTGTGGCTAGAGTATTCCACTTTCATACTAAGTTTTATACGGGTGTCCCGGCTTATTCCTGTTTTGGTCCACAGGGTTGTATTTATAAACATGTCTTATGCTAAGCATCTAAATCCACTACTTTTGTTTTGAAGTAAAACTCCAGTTTGGAAACAAAAAATATCCGGATAGTTCCCTTTGAAATTGTCAAAGATATTTAAAACATTCTGGAAAATGACCGTATTTGTCAAATTAAATTCATTATTTATAATAATTTCCATCCCCTCACAAATCTTCACATTTTCAGTGAAATTACTACCATTGATTTTCCTTTTCGTCTACCACAGTAAGTATGAAAGATGAACTATAACATAAAGTCACTTCTCTCTGTTAATTAAATTGATGCGGTGTTTTTTCAAAGTAGAAAATCCCACCAACAACTCATACTCTTTCCAAATCAAAAAAAGTTGTCTTTAAAGTTTCATACTCAAAGGATTTTAGAGAAGAGAGACTTTTTTTGTTTGTTTTCACTCCCGTTTTCAATATTCTCATTACGCTGTTGGATATTTGTTAGGAAATTTTCCAGTCCTTCTACACCTACTTCATTTCATTTTCAATTCTTGCCTCATAAAATACAGAAAAAAAGTTCTCAAGCAGCTTATAGTACTATTAAAACTGAAACCAAGTTCATTATTCAGTCAGCCTCCTCCATTATTTTTCCCACTTGATTTGCTCCGAACGACGGCACTAAGCTTGCTGCGAATCCCTGGAATGGAGCCCGGCCACAACTAGCCTTGATCCAGCTGCTGGAAACGCGAACACAAACCCTCCTCCTGGAGCCTACAGATCCATAGAAAAACCCCCAACAACACAGGCTCCAGCAGCAATTTCCCAAGCTATTAAAGTGCACCCGCTCAAAGCTAAGCTCTTCGGCGGCAGTGCGGTACACACACACTTCTACCCATTAGGAAGCGGGAGCTTTTTCACCTGCTGCTCTCACCTAAGATTTGACTTTTCTCTATGCGCAGGTGTTCACTTTTTTGCCCAGTTTTATTAACACAACTCCGCATATGCTGAAACTGATGTAACAAGATTTCTCATGCAGAACTAGACACACATTAACGATGTTCTTGCTCAAAATTCCTCTACCGTAAAAGTAAAACCTCACTGACGTGTTGAAGACCTGTGGTGAACACTCACATTTTATGAATGGGGTTAGTGAACAACGGGCTGGGAGAAAAGCTCTGCGAAACCCACAGCACTCGCTGACTGTGACAGGTGTCGCTTAATTTTAACTATTGATGGCAGTATTTCAGAAGACACTTGTTAACATACGGCCGTAGGAAAGGAGACGCCTTTACAATACCGAGCTGCTCTGTGGCCACTAGGAGAGCGTGGAGCAAGGCCTCCTTTTAGCAACACTTTCCCATCGGTCTCCTAATTTCATCATGGTTTGTTACCTGCAAGCTGCACCCACCCCTGCTGCGAGGAGACCCGCGGCCTCCGCAGCAGCCCCGGTGCGCGCAGCCACCCGGGAGCCCATTGCAGCCAGCCCCGTCACCGAGGGACACGTCCCTGCGTGCAGGGCAAACCAGCACGGCCCTGTCCTAGCCCGGGACACCCGGCACAGGGCCCACCCGGGCCCACGGCATCGCAGGGCAGTCGCTGCGCGCGGGCACTGCACGGGCATCGGGAGCCTAAATTGAGACGCGTTTCAGTCCTGCCCTCCATTTGCATCTGAAACATACACCATAGAAGCAGCGATCATGCAAGCACTACAGCTTCCTGCTATTAGCTGTGATACTTTAACCACATGTATAACGGTTTCCCTGTTTAATTCATGGCATTTAATTGTTCCTTGCTAAAAAGTCTTCCAATGGCTCTAAATATGTTCACAATAACTAAAAAAAAACCCAACACTGTTTGCCCAAGGCCTTCGGTGGAAAGCGAAGATCTCACAACTCGGGGAATCACTTTTTGGTGATCTGGAAGGTCTCTGCACCCCAGATCCTGGCCTGAAATCCACTGCTCACATCTCGTAAACAAAGCGTGACCCCAGATTCCTCCAAAGGGATTAAACCAACGCCGAGCAGCAAGGAGGCCCCAGGGAGCCCATTCCCTGACCCACGTGCCTGGTAGATGTGTTTATAGCCCTGTGTTTAACGGCGGGGCAGCATCGGCCTCACGGCCCAGGCCATCCACGTGCTCCATTGGCACCGCACCAGGTCAGGACGGACTGCTGGGCTCCCCTGATCTTCGTGCGAGGCGCTTACCTATCCCGCTCGCCTTTCGCACCGCATCTCTCTGCCGGCCCCGCGCTGGGGGCTGCGCGGGCTGTGCCGGAGCCGCTCGCTGGGCACGAGCGGCCTCCCCTCGGGCCGCGGGGCACGTGGCGCTGGTGCCGGCTGGGCGGGG